TATATAAACTCTGATGGATGTAATCAAATTTAAATTAAGAACCAAACTTTTAAATATCTCAGTATTTGGCTGGAATAATTATTTACATGTTTTTTTTTCAATCAAAAAACTCCTTGCAAAAGACTTAAACCAACTCTTGATTTCTCTATTTTATGCTTCAATTTAGACAGACTTTTTTTGTATTTCTTATTGCCTGCTGCCAAAAGGCAAAAATGGAAGTGTTTTTGCCTGCATTTATGTGTTAGTTTGTCTGCCACATCTAGTTGACCGTAGAAAACACAAATATCCTTTTAGCAGATACATTTAGAATCAGAATCAGAATTAGCCAAGTATGTTGGCACACACAAGGAATTTGTTCATGTCTTTCTAATATTAACAATATACAGATAATTTACATCTAATTTACACACAATATACAAAATGATACACATTATACTTAACTATACAAAGACATATCTATGCAGTGTGCTTTACAGTGTTATTCACAATTAGCAATATGATAACAGTATGCAGAGTAAATATTAAATATTAGTACAACAGCAGCAGTGTAAAAATTGAGTACAAGTACAAGTATTTTGACTTCAGTTCATTGCTTTGTGTGGGTTTTCTTTGGCTTTTACTTACATCTTGGCTATATCATACATACATTTCTTCAAGCTGCTTTATTTATCTAAAGACTGAAACTGTCATGTGCCACTGTTTCATTTATTGGAGGAACTGAATTTACTCTGTTAGGTAAAATAGGCCAGAATTTAAAACATGACCTTTAAGCATGTGCTCTTCTAATCTCAGATCTAATCTGTTATCTGCTGACAGGGAGCAGAACATTACGAAGACTAATAGTTCAAAGCAGCAGTAGTTTGAAATATCTAATTCAGAGTGAATGTAGCATGCCTGAAAACATGTAAAAACATGGCAGACGAAAGATCAACTGGTGTTTGCGTTAGTAGTTGTAGGAGACTAAATGTTAAAACAGGATTGAAAAATTGTTGTTGGATGTATTCATTGTGCTGCTGTTTTTTCCCCCTGCATCTAATTTAGGCCTTGATGTTCAGACAAATCTAACGGGGTGACTGTTGATTGGCAGCAGCAATGACCTCTCCACTCAGACACCCCAGCCCCCCCAAACACACCATCCTCACAGCACACACCCATATTCATACACACCCCTCCCCCTGTTGCTGCTCCTTCAAATGAACCTGAGGTCAAGACCTGAAGTAATCAGTACAGAGCTGAAACAATAGAGTATGCCTTTCAGCTGATGGCTATCAGTGTGTGTGTGTGTGTGTGTGTGTGTGTGTGTGTGTGTGTGTGTGTGTGTGTGTGTGTGTGTGTGTGTGTGTGTGTGTG